TTGGCCAGTGTTAGGTAAGTGCTGGTTTTGTACCCTACATCTATGTTAAGCTGTTCAATGTTCTACTGACACTATTTTATGTAGTTATAATATAATAATAAGATAATAAATTGAGAGAGCTGAAACAGGCTATACAAGCTTATCTGTTTGAATGTCCTTAAATGACAGTATTCCAAACAGCAGAACTTCTGTGTATGTGATGTGACTGATAACCTGACATGGTTTAGCCTTTTCCCACACCTACTACTTGCCTGATCAGCCTGCTCTCAGCTTTCTCCTTTTTCTGTGTTGTATTGAAGCAGTGTCCTACATGAAAAATGACTGACATTTTGTTTTAATGTGTAGATTGTCTTTGAGAAATGCTCACCTGTGTTCCTGTGTAGCTGGAACAGCACTCTGCAACCACAATGTTGCACTGCTGTTCCAGACCGCACACTACTCTACACTCAACCTGGCTGCTGTACCCCCTGTCCTCAGCTGAGGCAGAGCAGCGATGGCACAAGCCAAGAACCATGGTAAGTACAGTATGTGTTCACAACCAATCCACGGTTTAATGAGTATTTCCTTTGTGCCAAGAGCCGATTATGTATGTTGCATCAACAACCTTTTCAATTAATTTGACAATTCTTTTGTGTAATTAATAGGGTGTGAAACCAGACAGAGTGAGTGACATTTCCACTAAGCCAAAGCAGTTTACAGTTGCTGACGGTGTAAGGTAATATCTATTGTCCTAAGTAATTGTATGTAGCCTATACTATATAATAGGGATGCACCGAATATTCGGCCGCCGAAAGGGTTCTAGCACCGAAAAAATATCACCGAATGTCAGAGAACAGGGTTACGTTGGTAAGCTAACGTGTTGTTGTGATGACGTAATCAAAACGCAGCGACAATCACGGCGCGCGACCATGCTCGCGGCTGGCTCACAGCCAACATGTCTGCCGCTTGGAGATATTTAAAAATATCAGCGATGCGAGGTCACAGTGGAGATGTCATACCTCTCCATAGGTTGAGGTGAGGACGTGTGTGGGGGGGAGCATGGCAGGGGGAAGGCTCACTTAATGTGATTATAAAAGTTCCTTTTGATGAATATTAAAACTCATTAAATCACTATTTGGAAATGTAGACTAAACTTCCTGTTGGGTCAGGTTGAGGCTGCTAGCTGGAAATGTTTTCTATCATCAGACCTGTAATGGTCCGCAGCAGCTGACCTTTACTGCTGCTCAGACACACAGACACTGGCTCGACATTTGAACATCGTCATGCTTCTTTCTTGCTTATTCTGATTCTTCTGGTGCAGTAAACACAGACCTATGACTCATACAAGTTGTGCTATATGGAGGATTTTTTTGTTTCTGTTGAGCAAACTGTGACAGAAGAAGCAGCTACTCTCTGCACTGCCTGCAAAATACATTTCATCATCCTGCACATTAAGAAAGTGTGTATGAGGAAACCAAGCAATACATTTAAAGAACACAAAAGAGGAAACTCTTTGCCTGTGGTGTCTGCTAAATAAATCAACTTCATCTGAAGCGAGCTGTGGGCCAGACTGCATTACTCAAACCCTTAATGTTGACTTTAACCCGAGGCGACCTCAGTAAAGGTATCTACTCCTTCCTTCCACAGTGTTTACACCCTGACCTAGAAGAGGAACTGAGCACGCAGCAATGCAGAGTGGAAGCCAAAAAACTAGCAGCACTTGGGCTGGTATCAGATGATGCTGTCTCTACTCTTTGACTTTAGGATCTGTTATTATAAAACTATTTATCGTTCTAAAAATGCAGGAACGTTTTGCAGTGCACCAAGGAATTCATCTCATAACACGAATATGAAACAAATAAATGAGTATGTATTTTTAGAATTGAGCCTAAACAAAGCTGAGGATGAAAGGCAAGACTTTGGTGTGGAAGTGATTTCTGCTGAGAGCCTCTGCATGGTGAGCATCAGAGGAAGGCTGGACGTGATTCCCACTTTGGACCTAAGTTGATAAGATCCTCTTGGGCTAGTAGATGAACGAGCTCTCTCCACTTGATTTAAAGTGTCTGAAAAAGCCTCTGGATGTGAAGTGACATTCATGACTCCAGCCGAGGAGCAAGAGGCCTACCTCCCCACTCTGTGCATAATGCCAATTTAGGTGCACATGAATATGCATTTTTCTCTGAAAGCGAGTAGGCTTCATTTCCACAGCACCTTAGAGCCATTGGAGGCATGGAGCGGAGCTCACCATTTAACTGCACACATTAACCACGCTTTGCTAAGACTGTCACTGCCTTTCATGTCCGGAGAAAAGGGGGGCTTGGCTTTGTTGTGTTCTCTTTGCAGCTTTTGTGTGCAAACAGGCTGAAAGGTCTAAGCCTACTACCGGATAGAATGACAAATGGATGGCAACCTTTACTGAGTATAAATGCATGCAAGGTCGTAGTGAAGGCAGCCCGTGAGGACCAGACAGTGCACTGAAAATACAATGTCTTGGTGGAGAATAGATGTTTTTCTTAAACCAATTTTTTAATAACACTTTTTTGTTGTTTTGATCTGTAGGATGGAAGTAAGAAACAGGGAGAATGGTTGTTATTACGCAAAGGCAGAGTGCAGAGAAGCTTGTGCCTCTAATATATTTTTAACAAACAAAAGCTTAAGTTATTTAATATGTTCTCGGATGAAATTAAATCCTGTTGTGAGTTATTCGGAAAATCCTACGGAGTGACATTTCTCAACCCATGAAGGAAAACAATTATAATTGTTGTTCTAATTCAAATTAGACAGATTTTTGGAGGCATATGATTTTTACTGGACCGGGAGGATTCACACAGTAATAGTTGATCCTCTCCTTGAGTGTCTTTGCGTCTTTGGATCAGTTTTCACCTATAATACACATTTATGCTCCATACCTGTTCTCTGAATCGCGGGTTGAATCATGCCTTGTGCCTTGCATCTAATTCACCCTGAGTGATGGAGAGGACGTCCCTCAGCCTGTCAGACGGCAGGGCTGCACCACCACGCTGCCAGCCTGTAATTATCTCCACTCGCACACCCCTTTGTTCCTCTCACTCTCTCCCTTCCCCTCAAATCGGATGATTACTGGATGTTATCATTGGAGAAACACTGATGAAAGGGGTGAGCACGGTGGGTGCTTTTTGGAGGAGTGCCACATTCTGCATGGAAAACATCAATGTACCCCAAATGCTTTACATAGACACACTGAGGTTGATGTGGGCTAAAGGTTGCAGCACTGATTCAGCCACAGAGACTGGAGGGTGAGAGAGGACTTACCATGGTTGGACTTGGAGCTGTGGACAGGGGTGTAGTGGTTCTTGGATGAAGTTCTGACTGGCGTGTTGTCTTTGGGTGAGCCGTTCATTGCTGCAAAGTTCTCACAGTCATACTGCGATATGGGGATGGGCCCCTGCTGCCGCAGGATGTCTGCAAGGGCCCTGGAAAACGAATAGACAAGAATGACTGTTACCACTGCACCATGTTTGTCTGTCAGTGCAGCTGAACTTGTTAAAGATTAAGTGATAGCGTGTCTGTTCTTAGCGTGTCTGTTCTTTCATGCAGAAGGCTGCTAATTGTTCAGACAGTTTGGTGCTATCACGGTTCAGCAGGGCTGCTGTGTTTTGTTCATTTTTTATTCTGGGAATATGACAAATGTTCATTTGCAAGAGAGACAACATTTGGTGCATGAGTATCTTGTCTAATTGGGTTGAATTTGAATGTTTTTCAGACCGCACACCAGGTGCATATGGAAGGAAGGAGCCCTCGAGGGAGGAGAGTGGGAGAGAGGGAGAGAGGGAGAAGTAATCATGATGAAAGAAAGTTCACAAAGTGTTTGTTTGCTTTTTTCTGCCATTGCTTTGGGGAATTATATCAAATTAGTTTTTCAGTGCTGCAGCAGTTCAAAGATTTTTGTATGACAAATGTGTCACCTAACATAACCTTTGCTTTGACATTCATATTTTAATGTTACTGCGACACACCCCCATCATTCCTGTTTCTTCTTGAGTGTGCAGTGATGCGTGCATGATGTCGCACAAACTTGATACAGACCATACAGTTAACACTATCCATTATTCACAGTCTTTAGATTGCTCATGTGTTGAATTATACATCCAATAAAAAAAGCTATTCCATCTTGAGGAAATAATGTGTGTCAGCATTGTTCCCTGATGGAGCTGCAGTACAACATGTGCTCCAGCGCCATGCTGAAGCCCCCGGAGGAGAGCCAGCTTTGGAAACAATATCCCATCTCTGCTCACCATTCTGCAGATCCCCACTTGAACACAGGGCTTGGTTATATGGACCAAGTATATGGGCTAATGTGATTCAAGTATCCAAGATGTTATTATTTTTGTCCTAGTGTCAGTCTGAATAATAATGATTGAAATAGGGAACAAAGACATTGACTTACACTTTAACTACAACTAGGTTGTATTATGGTACATTGGAAACTACTGCTCTCAAAATGACTCCATGCTTGTTTTCGTACACAAGACCTTTGTCTGCAAGGAGCTCTAGATGTCTGTCTCTATTTGTTTGTGAACCTTATTAAGGAGAGAACATTTCTGAGAACAGATGGAGTAGATTGTGTGTGCTTCAAACACAAGTCATTCTCACGTAATAGGCTATGTCATTTTAAACTGTGCATCCGACTCACCTGTGAATATTCATCTCCTGAGGGGGCTCTGTGGCTTTGTCGTACGCCACTTTGACTGACAACCCCAGCACTATGATGAAGGCTATGACCCCACAGGTGATGTACACCGCCGTGTTGGTCTGATCCATGCTCGGATCGTACGTTTCTCCGGTCGGTATGGGGGACGGGACCACCGTCTGCACCCACTTCGGGGTTTGGTAGTTCTTGCAGGCTTTCTGGTCCAGCCGGTCCTTCTTGTACTCGCAGCAGAAGCGCAGGTAGCACGTCCCGCAGCAGTACCGGTGGTTCGTGTTGTTGCACTCGAACATTTTGTCATACTGGCCGCTCACGTCATAGTAGCCCAGGCATGTGTCGTGGTTGCTAGTGGGCGCCGGCGGCAGGGTGTTCAGCGGGACAGCCGAGGGCACCGCGGTGGTTTTGGGAGGCTTTCGGGGGGGCGCCTGCTTGGTTTTCTTCCCACCTGTAGCTGTGCCCAGCGCGCACAGAGGGTCCAGGTATATGAGCAGCAACAAAATATGCCTTATCCCCATGGTAGTATGAAGAACTCAAGTATTAGGCTGTGTTTTAGAAACGAGTCTTCAACTCTGGTTAAACATGCACGGGTTTAGTCTTGTTTCACCACCGAGTCTGCAGCTGATGGCTCAGTGTCCGGGGCCGCCGTCATGCTGAAAACAACTCTGCGTAGTCTGCTGTCAAGGGCATTCCTCCACTGTTAGTGTGCCACGGACAAGCTAAAGCTCATTGCAACCTAGCGGGGGGCCGTGCCAGGGTAGCCCCATGTCCTGTGCTCCTAAACGGCTCTGAGCTCTCCTCGGCAGAGTGTGGGAGCGGCGGTGTGTCGCTGTCCGAGGTGCTGATATTTGAAGACAGTCACTTCTGCTCGAGTCAAAGTAAGGCTGGAGAAACAAATAATGCAAACGGGCTCATTAGATATATTCTCACGTCAGATGCACGTCATTATTAACAAGTAGGCTTTAAACGTCTACATAACTTGACAGATTGGAGTCCTGAAAATGATCCTGTTTGAAGTCGTTCGTGCAGTTTGCATGACGCACTCCACTTGATAACACCCACACACACAACAGATTCTTAATGAATGTTCTCTCTGTGCTCAGTGTTACACCACCGTCTCTGCATTCAAATCAACGTGGATACGGGACAATTACTCTGCATTATTCTATTCATACAATTCTAAAATACTGTCATAAATTGTGAAATTTTTCTGTAATTTTTTAAATAGTGGGAGTGAGAAAAGCCAGCTTACCTCAGTTCGGAGACCCGCTAGGGAGGAGCTCCGTCTGTGTCTCCGACAGTGAGGAGAATATCGGAGCAGTGAACCTCTCTCACTCCCCCCCTCTCTCTCCCTCTCTCTCCTTTGCTCCGTGCGTCTCGTTTTTCTCCCTCCCTCCGCTTCTTACATCATTCTAGTCAAGTATTGGCAGCCCCCCACCCCCATCCCCACAGTTGCCTAACCTTTGAACAGCTGTTACTGAGGCAGCTCTATGCCTATGTACAACATCACTTTCAGGATGACATAATTCATCTGCTCTCTCAGCTCACACTTCATGTACAGTTGAAGTTCAGATCATATCTGTCACCAAGTCATGGGGGTGGGTGGGGGGGCTTCCGGAGAACGGATAGTGCTAAACTACCAGTTCCACTGCACTGACGTGAAGCGCAGCTGTTTAGCATACTCCTACATACCACTTAGTCCTGGTTACAAATGCCTGCTGTTATTCTTCTTCTGTTATATCTATGGTCACCATTTACACATGTTTATGTGCAGGGCTCATTCATCCAAATGATTATAAATGCATCTATAGGGAGCAGGGAGGAGCAAGCAGCAGCTATAGGAACTATTGGAATGAAACACTGCTCTCTGTGGAACTCTGTTGCAGAAAACTGAGCCACAGAGCGGTGCACCATATTTGCACTCAAGCTTTTCTCATCCCAAGCTTTCGGGGTTGTCTTGGTTGCTACAGAGAGGTGTGCAACATGGGATTGGGCACACATTGATTCTGGCAGACAGCAGGCGGTATTGATGTGTCAAAAGAAAACTCAAGACAAAAGAGAGTTTCATGAGACCTACAATTTCAGACAGGTGTGTGGCAGTCAAGGTTGCAATACTGCAAGAGAGTGTGTTGCTGCACATGTTGGAGGATTGGGGGGACAATGAAACCTCTCTGATGGCCGTGGAAGTTCGATTCACAAATGGATTCAAATGATGGAGCCTGAACACTCTCCTTTTTTCTGGGGAAATAATAAACATACCCAAATAATACTTGACCAATGAATCTTCAGAAGTATCCCATAACACCACATGTGAGGCTTTAAAAGCCTACTTGTGTGGAAAGATTATTGGCTATGTTTTGAATAATAAAAAGGTTAAAAAAAGACACTCAATACAGTTTGACTTCTTCCCTAGATTTATACCAAAAGACATTTCACCAGAAGACAGTGAGACTTGGTAGCTACCTCAAAACTATTGCTAGTAAATTATCAGTATGCATTTATAAAAGGTGAGCTCCACGACCTCCTGATGGTGTAGATAGAAGATCTCAGAAATTAAGAAATTCTCAAAGGAGCTATCTCCATTGTTCATGTTCACCAAATCACTTCTAACTTGGCGTCCCTGTGGAGCCCTACATAGACCTTGGTTTTTCTCCTGCATACAAAAGGCATGGAGCCCCTGCTGTGTGAATCTTACATAAAGTCCTTTCTAAATGCCTTTACTGTAAACGCAGCTCCCATCATGCAGCATTCACTGTTCAGCTTCAGATCAGCGCCCCTCATCTGAGATTAGTGACCATTTTCACTAATAACAATATAGCATTGCAACTACCTTGTGCAAGATTAGTTGCCGTGCTAATTTAAAGAGAAAGGATGGCTATATTCTTGTTTTAACTTATTGTAAATTGTCAATGCATTCAATGAAAAGAATAATACAAATTAGGAATGTATCTTTAATTGTGTGTATGCCTCTTTTTCTCCTGTCCTCAGCATTCATTATTTTGACTCAATTCCACACACTCACATGCTCACTAGATCACCATATTTCAATTATTCAAGTTCAAGTTGATTTGGGAAATGACAGCATTTTAAAACCAAACCAAATATGTTAGCCCTCTTTTAATAGAATGCAATACATTTCCTTCATCTCTAAATATTTGAGCTAAAATACAATACAAAAACTGTTCATTCTGAGCTGGTGTTCATCAAAAAGAAAAAGTGTTTACTACAGGATGTAGAAAAGTTGCTGCAGATGGAGGTCACACAGCTATCACATGACATTGTTTATTAAACAGACAAATCTGAAACCCAAGTAGGACTTTTCCTGACTGTGGCACTTTTCCTGCTGTCATCCTCCCTACTGCCCCTCCGGAGGAAATACTGAAGGAAGGTGGAATGCCAGCTTTCTTTAGAGAAAGGATTTCAAAAGCTGCCTGACAGGAACAGTAGGGGCAAAAATGCTTAGCATAAGCATCTTTTTTTTATATCACCAGTGGTGTGACTGGCAGCAGGTTAGGGTACTAAAGATCCTAAATCGTAATTTAAAGACTAAGCCTTATCTATTAAACGTACAGTAAATCCTGAACGGCTTACACCCCTTCAGTACATCAGGCTGAAGGTGATCGGCAGACATATATTTCTCCTTCAGGAGAATACATCGAAAGATATTTTGATCAAAATTGCCGTTTATGAAATTACTATATATCAAATAAATCCATTCAATAAAGGTTGTGTAGACTGAGTTACATGAACAGTAGGAAAGGAGAGTGTGACCATATTTGTGTCTGAATCTCAAACCATCAATGTCTGATTGGCAGGCTGAGGAGCAGTTGCTTGGTAACCACGTTTACTATGCCATCTATACTTGTTGTGATGAAAAATGTAAACTCCTCACTACTGAACTATTCTCTAGGACTTCAACATGAGATATAGATGTGCTCCGAGACATATGGATCAGGGCTGGTAGCCCAGCCTCACATAAAGGCACACGTGGGCAAAATGTAGAAACTAAAGTAGGAATACGGACCTCTCTGTCCATGCTTAGTGTTACTGTGCCTCCAAACGTACATGGCCTTCAGCTGCTCTATGAGCGGCTAAAATACATGTTTTAGCCGGAGTGTTCTACATCTGTGAGCTGCAGTTTGTGACCGACTGGGATGATGTTCCATTAATGTTTCAGATCCATTTCTGTTCCTGCAATAAACATGACAGAGCTCCTCCTGCATGAGGCTCCGTGTGCGGCGTTTACTACCCCCTGTTTTTTTCTTGGGGGTGTAACATCACTGCTGGTATAAATGTATGGGTTAATACATATGTACGCTTTTGTAGTCCACCCTTTTATGTAGTTGTTAGCAAATAAAAGGACAGTAACTAAATCTGGTATGAGTGAATGGAGGGACTTGATTTAAATCATATTTAATTGATTTGAAATGATTTTGTGTTACCCCCATCCTGTATTGTTCCCTTCTGTCCTTCAGTGAGGCACTACTAAGGTTTGTTTTCCATTAATTAAAGAGCAAGCGACTCAAAGCGTTGCAGAAATATGTTTAAAAGCCTCTGCATTTCTGTTTGTGTAGTCATAACTGAGAGTAAAGAACTTCACAGTCACCAGCTGAGCAGAAAAAACGCTTTTTAACAGATATTTTGAGTGCCTTGGCTCTTTTTTTTCCTTCTATAATTTTAAGCCTGCAATTATGACTAGCCATGCAGAATAAAGGCTTCAGACACATTTTCTAAGTGCCTTGGATTTTTCTTTTTCACATGACCACCAAAAGACCCCTTTTCATCCAAAAAGGCTTTGAATGTCACAATCATTGGGCGAGGAAACCCTGACAGCTTCTTATTTGTTTTTGAAACGACCCAGGATCCGTGCACACTGGCTGTCCTGAGACGATACACAGAGTCTAAATGTGGTGGAGACACAAAAGCAAGCTGAGGAAATACCGTTTATTCAGCGGACGAGACCTTGCTGTTACGTCACTGACAAAGCACTGAGACACCATTGTTCTTCACTCCTCTTTCTCTCTCCAGGGGCCAATCCTTTATACATGCCATGTTCTACTGCCATTATCATGACCCATTTTCTTTTGAAAACTGTTTTTCTAAATTGCGAAAAGAGCCGAGGCTGGTACAAGAGCTTTTAAAAGAACCTGACCCCTTGAGTTTAACTATGCGTGCTGCTGAGTCCTTACTGCTGAAAGTGCTTTGTCAAGTATTTCTGATATTGCTCTGTTCTCTGCCCACAGTGCTTTGAGCTTTAGGCTTCTGGCTGGTGAAGTGTCCAGCTGGGCAGGAATTACAGCAAAGCAAATAATAACTGCGTATCCCAATGTAAGTCATTTATCCCTGCTTTAGTCTCGTATGCTGTCCACAAAAGTGAATGATACACAATGATCCTCTCTGTATGGTTTGCTAATGTCAAATGAAACCAATTGTGTGAATTGTCACTCATTTGGAAATACCAAAACATTTAAGCCCTGTCGATATTTCTCTCAGCCGTTTGCCAGCTGCCTGCTCCGAATGAGCAGCATGGAAGGTCTGGAGTAATGACACTTGCCAGCTTGCTGTCATCACTTCCCATAACTGTCTTGTTAGGCTACAATTCTGTCCCTGGCACCAGCACTGGCACACTCTAATGTCTCTCTAATTCACAGCCAGACTTACAACTGAATGAGCCTGTTTGATGTTCAGTGTTGGCTTTTGATCAGGGCCATATATTCACAGAGCTCAGTGGTCAAGGTTATAAATGATTATTACTCTAAAGCCGCTTTGTAAAATATAATGAATGGGAGTTGGGTAGTGTGTGTGCCTAGGGATGGTGTCCTCTTAATGAAAGCTTTCCTTAAAGCTCGATCACTTACATATTGAGCCAGAATTGGGTCAATATTCGAGCGCGCAAAACTAGCTACTAACGATCGAAACATTTGCTTTTACACGTGCATAAAATGACCTTGGCGCGTAGATTAAACCCCCGCGAGCGGGACAGCCCTCTTGCTCGCTAGCGGGAGTGCCTCACTCAATCGCGGAGTACTGTCTGCGCGCGCGTGAAAGGTTTCTGACACTTTGGGGCGGAGCCAATGGACTTTGATTGACAGCTGCCAGGAAGCTCGGAGTTGCCAGGTTGGATCATTGCCATTGTCTCAACTACCAAGAGGAGCGACAGCAGCAAGATTAGTTGGACGGGATTTAAAGGACCCATGTCATGCTTTTCTGGTTCTTACCCGTCCCCTTGTGTGTTATGTAGCTTTTTATTCATGTAAACGGTCTGCAGAGTCACAAACCCTCAAAGTACACCCTGTAGTGAGTAAAACTCTAACACTGGGGGGCAGGAGCTCCAACAAGGCGTGTAGGACAGAGAGTGAATACACATACTATACAGAGATGCTGGATAAGAGAAACCAATGTGAGTTTGGAACATTGAACAATGTGAATCTATTTTAGTAGACCTCAACAATGGAATTATGATCAGTAGAAATGGCCATGACATGGGACCTTTAATGGTAAGGTTGTCCATAAGTAAACATTATATTCTTACAGTGTAGCTACAGCTAATAAATATCAATTAATTTTGATATAAAACAATATATTGCCTACAGCACTTGGATCGTAGGGTCACAGTGTGGAGAAGACGCAGAGAACGCTTTGCTGATTGCTGCACCGATAGAGTAGGAGTGGAGAGGATGTCCTGCCTGCAGTCCTGACCTCAACCTCATTGAACCCCATTTTGGGATCAACTTGGCCCTGCTGTCCGTGCCAGAGTGACCAACACAACCACGCTGGCTGACTTGGGACAAATGCTGGTTGAAGAATGGGATGCCATACCACAGCAGAGTGTGAGCAGGCTGGTGACAGCATGAGGAGGAGAGGCTGTTGTGGCTGTGTTTGGTTCTTCCACACGCTACTGAGGCTGCTTATTAAATGAATCAATTGTTAATAAATCAATTGTTGCCAATATGTCTTTATTTATCAGACTTCCATCATCCAATCCACCATCCAAACGAGTTGGGTCAACACGCAAAAAAAGGCTGTTAAGCATTGGCAGAGGGAATATGTCACATACTCAGCTCTGCGTGCTCATCCCACAAATGCTTGGTTCGCCTTTCAAAACGTCGGCACCACTTGAAAAGTAAGAAAACAGCATTTCAACGGTATAAGATGTATGGGCCAAAAAGCATTTTTTACAAAGTAGAGAATCATCTACGAAACAAAAATTGCTCTTGAGTTTTTGGTTAAGTTTATATTAATTAAATATATAAATATAGTTGTTTTATATACAATAATTGATATCAAATGTAATGTATTATATATATTAGCTGTACACTTTTTCAAATATAATATCTTTTATGGACAACTTTACTATTAAAATCACCGTCCAACTAATCTTGCTGCTGTCGCCTTCTTCTTGGTAGGCTGGGGAGTTGAGACGATGGCAATGATCCAACCTGGCAACTCCGGGTTCCTGGCAGCTGTCAGGCTTGCGCCGTGCTACAGCGAATCGCGGCACTCTGTAGTCCAGGGGCGGACTGTGGGGGGGGGAAAAAGTGGGCCGGGATTATTGACAGACAGGGCCCACTTAATGTATCGACCGGCCGGCGACGAAGAGTTATGGTTATTTCTTAACAAAAAATCCCTAGGCAGTTTAATGTTATTTTTGGACCATTATTCACTATAGTAAATCACATTACCGAGCCCGTTTGATTGGCCCCCCCTAGAGCAAAATAGTTACTAGCATTATATTTAGTATTAATTTAAAATCATTGATTGCAATAACATTTTACCAATTGCTGACTTGACACCATTGTGGAATAAAAACATGCCGTGAAGCCATCCTCAGGAGGTCGTATTCCTCCTTAGTTTCTAACATTTTGAACGTGTGCTTTATGCTGAAGTGGTACCAGATCATATGCTCGGCAAGGACATCTATATCTCATGTTGAAGTCCTAGAGATGTAGTTCGTAGTGAGGAGGTTTAGGAGTTTACATTTTCATCCACCAACAAGGTGTAGATGGGCATAGTAAACGTGTTACCAAGCCCAACTGGCCTCCCTCCCAGCTGGCAATCAGACATTGATGGTTTGAGATTCAGACACAAATATGGTCACCCCTCTCCATTTGTGGTGGTGTATCAGTAGCAATTTGTACTCCCCAGGGAGTCCTTACCACAACCTTTATTGAATGTGATATTTGACGGTGTATGATGTGTACGATATTTGTTGGTGGTGGACTAAACACCGCTGTCCCTACAATTTTGGATCGAGGAGATATCCTTGGCTCCGGAGCAGGCTTTCTCTCCTGAAGAAGGGAAGATTGTATACTTCTAAATGTAATGTTGAGATGGCACTCTTACCAGATGCCACTTCGAATCTGGCTGAAGGTGCCGCTTTGAGAGCAAAAGAGTTATGGACGTTCTAGAATCTGAATTGTTGCCTGAGCGTTCTTAAATAGATAGGCTTGAGTCTTAAAATTACAAATTTAGAGTAGTGTGGTTGAT